TATAATAATATATATATATATGTTATGTATGTATATATATAAATATATATATATGTATGTATGTATATATGTATACCTTGTGGTCCGTGTGAACGGTAAAATGCTGGCCGATCAACTGATCATGAAAATGGACCAATGCATACGTAAGCGCTAACAGTTCCTTCATCGGTGTGGCGTTTGTCTGCCCTGCCTTGTTAAGAGTCTTCGAAAAAAAACATTAAGTAATGCTTGCGGCCGCCAATCAACTGATACAGCCTTCCGCCAATATCATAATCACTGGCATCAGTCTGCAAATCGAGTAAAACCTGATCAACCAGAAAATTCAAAAAGACTGCAAACACGATTGTCTCCTTATTCTGATCCCATGCCAGTTGGTGTTCTGGTTTCCAACGATTCCCAATCGGTTCTTTCGGCTTCAGTTTCTAGAACGACAGAAGTGGGGCCACTTTATGTGCAAAATTAGGTAAGTACTCATGTAGAAAAATTTACAGGCCCAATGCGGACGCGATGTCCCTATGACATCGTGGCATTAGCCAGTCTATCAACCGTTGCTGTTTCTCGTGATCGAAGTCAATTCCTTTTGCGGAAACCTTATTCCCAGTACCATAATCTCGCTCACTTCAAAGTGGCACTTCTTCTAGTTATTAAAGTTTGAAGTTGTTCTCAGTGAGCCGTCGGATGACATTTTCCACTGTTGCAGTAAGTTCCTCGTAGTCATCAGACACAATTATAAGATCGTCTGTTTAGCATTCCACGTCTAATCTCGCCATCAGATTACTAATGGTGCGTTGAAATTGAGACGTAAGTGTCGACAATCCAAACAGAGCCGAAGTAAACGATATTGGCGACTATCCCAGGTAAACAAGCACATATGTAGTGAGTCCTTGTGTACCGGTAGGTAACGCTATGCGGCCGATAGATCTTACGTAGTATAATTTTGCTTACCCTCAAGTTACAAATAATCTCATTGACCTTCGGTAATGTAAACTGATCTCCTGGAATAAGAGCATTGATCTGTCGTAAATCCAAACACAACCGGTCTTTAATTAGTTACCCCGACGGTGTGAATGATGGTACCGCCAGTAGAGGCAAGTTGGCCATCGACGCCGATGTGCGACGCTTGGTTACAAACTCATGTTTTCATTTATGCACCTGTTGTGTGGTGTGTGGTTTCTATTTGTCAGATACGAAATTCCGTGTTTGTCGTCGTAGACCCAAACGTTTATCGCGAGGTATGGGGAGGGATACTTCGCTGTGTAAACTTCGATGGATATTTCTATGTTTTACACAATGTCATATAAACCAAGATAAAATTATTGTCAGTTAGGATTTAGCAGTGGTAGCTTGTGTATGAATGATCGGGACTGCCTCTTGATAAGAGCCTTTATATCCTCGATCACACAGGATCTCTAGCTGTTCTTTATTGAATAATTTTCACTAGAACTACTAAGTGTTCATGACCACAAGTCTAATTTGTAAATAGACATAAGAACGTAAGTCAAGTTAATACATTAGCTAATATAAATAAAGCTCCATCTGAAGAAAAATTAAATTAAAAAAGACATTGGATTTTGGAGATTGGCGGGACGACCAAAATCTGTAAGAGTAGTTCAGATAAAACAATAATTTAGTTTATAATATCCAACATCTACTATCGTCTCAAATAGGTCCAAGTAAATGAGTCATACCAATTACTCAGGCTATTGGAGCCATCAAAGTGAATTTAGAACACTTTGGAAATATTGGAAAAAGAACTTGTATTAAATTATTTTAAATACAATTAAAAGCCAATGTGTTATCTCATTTGATCTTGATATTTTAAACTTACCGGAGGCGGTATTTCTACAGCTGCCTGGTAGAGTGCACCGAGCCGCACCCAAGATCGCCTCGTTAGCGTCTGTACTGTCGTATCCGTTGTCGAATATCCTCTGGCTCTGACAAGTCTGGGGCCATCCAAATGTCTATCTGTTCGAGTAGTCTATCTATAACATTCTAATTAATTTCTGGAAATGGTGATGATAGGCCAGTAAGATCTAGTCCTAGTTCTCTCATATTATCCATGTCCATAATTATTTCAATATTATCGGGTAGATTCATAAGTTCGAACGTACAGTCCTCGGTAGATGCTGTACTATCCTGAACCGTAGTGGTATGTGTTTTGCCCAAGCGCAGGGTGCGGAAAGCTTTGTCCGCCAAATATACAAAACTATCATTAGCTGGTGGCGAAATAGATAAGCGTGCCTTCTTTGCGGACGCCTGAGTGATGACGGAGCGGTTCTCCTCCGTGTCAACGAGTGTGCGCATCTCACATCAGACACCTCAACATCAATCCAAATTTTTCTCCCCTTCTCAATTGGATGGTCCGTGCTCGGCCTCCACCAACTCGTCTTTGCTTTCTACATACGACTCGTCGACCAAATCATGAACATGCATGACCTCACTGTCTCCTGCTTCTGTTGGTGTTTGATCAGTCATCTGATCACCGTTCACTATGATATCATGGCAGGTCCTAGGGTAAAATTCATATAAGATATTACTATCTAATAAAGCTAATAAATCTAGCATTGCCTTGTGCAAAGGTTTTACTATGTATTATTACTAATACATAATTTATACATAATCTGAGTTATATATAATAAATAGTTTTCCATTAACTATACGAGATGGATAGTATAAAGGTTGAAGATTATTTATGTTTACTCTTTTTTTTAAAGATAAACAATGGTTTTTAAAAACCAATAATTAATAAACTTAGTTTTTACAAACTAAAATATTTAATGAGCTCTTAATAACACCAACCTCAGGCCGACCCCTAGGGCCTTACCACACCAACCTGGGACGGACTGTCTATTTATTTATTTATTTTTTTATTTTCTTTAAAAGTGGCCATTTAAATTTAGTTCTAAATATATTAATTGGATGATTCTATTCTTATAAATTAATATTTCTTAAGAGATAATTAAAAGTCGCCAAAAGTGCCAATCCAATCTGGGGACGGACTGTCTATTTATTTATTTTCTTAAGTGGCCATTTAAATTCAGTTCTAAAAATATTAATTGGATGATTCTATTATTAGAAACTAATATTTCTTTTAAAAGGGGGGTTTTTTATTATTAAAAAGGCGACAAAAGTGCCAACCGTCCATTTAACTAAAAGAATTGAAACTTAATTAGATTTTTAGAAATCCTTAATAAAATATCAATGATGGCTAAGACTCGGCGACCTATAAAAGTCGGGTGCCCCCTGACTAATGCCTCAGTCTTTTACTTATTACTTTAAAGTAACAAGTAATTAGCAACCGGACTTGTAGGGTGTTATTTTATTAATAGCTTTATAAGCTTATAATTATCCACTTTTAAAGTGATGTAATAGCCGGGCCTCCACATTAGACTCTATGTTATACACGTACTCTTAAGCAGTACGTAAATTATAAACATACTCTTAATAGTACGAGGAACTTAAGTTTCCTAAATGGTTTTTAATGGTTAAATAAATTAATACTTTTTCCATTTAAAACCCTAAACCCTAAAACAGTATATTTTCAGCACTTGTTTCCAACCAGTTAGGATTTACAAACTACTACTAAAACAACCCATAGAACTACATACCCAAAAAAAAACCCCCAAGCCACATAGCAAACTAAACGCAGCGCAACAACTCAGCCATTAGATAGTTCAGTAAGCCTCAACCTGAGAAAACAGGGATTAAAGCACAAACTGCGACACCTGCCGGCCGCCACAGGTCTTCGGACACAAAGGCATTGTAATATTGTATATATCAATAGCGTGTAAACAAATAAAGATACCTAAACCCTAAAACCCTAAAAGAAACCCTAAACCCTAAAGGCCTCAGTAAAATACCAAACATAAGAGTTGGTCTAGTTCTATTAATAGAACTATATTTACTTTCCAACTTTATTTCATATCTGAATACTTCGGTAGCGAGATGGCTCAATCGAATATAGGTTTCTAGGGACTATTAACGTTACCTAGTTGATCCTCCGATCAGCCAACCAGATGTGCCAGTCTGATGAAGGCTACGACGGTAATTCTTGATAAGTGGCAAGTTATTGGTTAAGACATTAACTAAGGACATCAAGAGTATATTTTCTTTTATTTTCTTTTTTTTCTAAAGATAGGATTTTATGAGTCTCTCGGATTCGCCCCAACAAAACACGCCCGAGTTTCTAATAGAGCGACAACGAAACACTAAATAGAATTCCTTCGGCGAAAACAGTACTGAGAGGATTATATATAGGCAATGTCTCAGCCTCACAATCCCTCAGAGTATTGCTGTTTTTACGAGGCATACCTAACTTTACTAAAAGTCTCATTTCGTTTATTTACTTTGAAATTTTCACGATACTTAGAATTTACCTACGCGTTTATTTACTCTAAGACGTTAATATCGCCTTGATAGACCGAATCTTACAAAGATGGGTGTACCTTGCAAAGCCTCAGACACAAGGTTCGAACGAGGTACTACACAGAAAAATGAAGGAGTTCATGCGAGCAGCATTACTTGATGATGCTGACATGTGGCCGTACTCAATCAATTAGGTACAGACACCGATGAACGAATCCCCCGATTCAGTCACTGGTACAACACCCACTCACTATTTCCGGGGCCGTTATGGTGAATTACAGATCCCCTTCAACAAGGAGTCTCAAGATGATCATGTGTTACCATGGTTAGAGAAGATGCGTCGGACCAAAGATGTGGTCTATCCTTGCTTAAGGGAGATGAAGGACATCGCTCTCAAGAAGAGACAAAAGCGATGGAATGATACCAAGAAAATAGTCGAGTTTGAAGTAGGCGATATAGTCAACAATATGGCTCGCAACTCCGATACAACTGTGCTTACGGCTAGATACATTGGACCAGTTATGATCTCTGTGGCCGATAAGAATAGCAAAACGTATGAAGTTAATAACGTTGACGGCTCTAGTGCCTTAAATATCGGGTCACATCGAATCCCTACGACAGATATTGCTACTACACCTCTTTTGTCTTACGAGTTTAAAAATATTCTAGGGAAGTACAAACATGAGGATATGACATATTACACTACGGAGTTCGCCGATGGAGCACAGTATGATCTTCCACCATCGGCATTTGATGATCCGGATGTACTAAAGGCTTTTAATAAGAAGTTTCGCAAACGTTTACACAAAATGAGGCTGATGCAGAAGCAATCTAACCATCTAATAAGCGACCCGACGTGGTTAAGATCTATCCACAGACATCATAAATTCCCAGCTTTAAACAGCATTGAATGTACGTACCTTCAAAAGGCATTAAGAAACGTCCTATCCACCATCGGGGACCACAAGGACCAAAGCCCAGACGTAATAGAGTAACCGAGTAACTTATAACGTCTAAGTATACTTTGTCTAAGATGATATAACATAAGCATTGAGGCCGTTATAGGATCGAACCCCGTTTCTTTTCTTTTCGCTTGTACAATTCATGTGATCTTTGTGAGTCTATGTGCTAATACCATATATAAGCCAACATTGGAATTTTCAATTGTACATAATATAGGAATGATACAAATCTGACACCTGAAAATGACACTTTGGGAATTTTTATTTAACGGGAGTACCATGAGAGGGGATCGCAGGCGTGAAATGATTGTTGATAAAAACCTATGGTATAATTCGATAATGATCTCAGAGCAAGATAATCCACTGAAAAAGGACAGGATCAGAGTTGTTAGAAATTAGGAAAACACGGTTTTGATTCCTCCTAGCCAGCCAACTAGATGTGCCCGTCTATGCCTTAAATGGATGGAGAGTTAGGTACCAAGTATTGGGGTTTTAAGTACAGATGTATACTATACCAGCTTGGGGTTTTGATTTTACTTTTTATTTTCTTAAGTTGGACTTAGAAATATTTTATTGGGTATTTTGAGTAGATAATTGTTTTGAGGCGTGAAATGTAAAATATGCTTCCAATGAAATGATATCTAGTCTTAGTAACTAAAATATAAATAAATCTAGACCGAAGTAGTGAGTGATTAGAGCGGAGCATATACAATTGTCTCAGTCTAAAATCCCATAATCTTTTGCTCGCTACCAAGGGCTGAAGCTAAACTTATTTTTAACATTTTGCGTTTTAACATTTTATCGTATTGTCTTATTAATGTAAACGTCTTGGTATCGTATAGTCAGCCTAGAGGAGACCGACTTTTACACATGTAAAATTATAATCCCATTTACGTACTAAACCCTAAAACAATAAATAAAGCTGCTATTGAATATAAGCACTTACGTGCTGATTCACAATTTACACTTACGTGTGATATTAGAATTAACTTTATTTACTATAGTGTATTAATACACTAGGTAAATCTATATAGTCTACTTCAAAGTAGACTGAAGATATTCAGATATCCGAAATATATAAATACGGGAGACTCTCCTTACAGAGCGACTTCAGTTTGAAGCATGCCTCCTAAGAGGTACTTCAAGATGAAGAAGCCCGAGTCACCTTCAGCAGCAAACCCACCTAAGCGAGTTAAACCCTCGGTCTTCCTTACGGAAGCTATGTCTAAGAAGACAAAAGACGCTTCT